TGTTTTTGTCTTGGCGCCATTGTTTTTTTAGGCTATAGCCGAAACAACTCGATCACGTGATCTCCCGAAGTCGCCCGATTGACTCCGAAAATGACCGATAGTCGGAGATAAACGTTCATTTGCGTAAATCGGCTTATTTTTTAATGCGACGAAATAAACAGTCAAAATAAACATTCGACATCGCGGCAACTATCATAGTTCAAAGGAAACGAAGTCGTTGTTCTTCCTGGGGTTTATAGTTCCATGCTTTAACATACACTTGGAGGTCTGTTTTGGCTTGGCCTCTAATGTTCCCGTCTGCGAGTATCTTGTCAATATATTTTGCGCAGCGTTTGCACCACACTTCCGTAACAAGCTTGTGACCTTTTTCGGTTTCGTCTACATGATAACGCATATCCTTTCCAACCATCCAGTTTAAAAAGTTTACAACTGATCGGCGAGTCGAAGATCTAGAAGGCATGACGGAGGCTATTTACAAAAATGAGGCATGCGTAGTTGAGTTTAGGTTACGAGGTCAATTTCTCGGTACAACTGAATTCAGCCTGTATCGCGTAATCTAATTGGCTATTGACTGTCACCTTGAAAGAAAATGCGTCATGTCGACCAATGAGAATGCACGATACAAATTACCTACTACCACAAGGTTTATCACCCTTTTACGGTTAAGTGACGATAGAAAGGAACTGAGCATAAATACTAGCGATCGAAACCGAAATACTGTAATAAAAAAATGTAGGATCTTTTTTTCACAAGGTCAGCGATAAATCATTCGCCTGGGAGGCGTTTCAGGCGAGCGTTAGGAGCGTGGAGCGATCGCTCGTCTTAAAACGCAAGGTCTGTCAATTGTATTTCAATGTCAAAGGTTACAATAGATATTTCTGCCAGTTTATAAACTGAATATAATGTTGAAGAATCAAGCTTTAACTTTAGTTGTTAACAAATGTTGATTTGCTACTTGAGTTGAAGTATTTTAAAAATTTGATGAGTGAATCACAGATGACTGACAGTTCACTGAACTTGCATGAACTTTGAATGAAGAGTTGATATTTAACCATTTTGTATCTGAATCTCAAAGCAGTGGCAACATGGCGATCCTACTTAAGCGTGATGTCTTACCAGAACTACTCACTCATCTCTACAAATGGGCACCAGATTCGTATCCGATTTATTGGCCTATTATAGATGTGTACACGGACACTGAAAAAATCCAACAATGTACAAGTGTTGTGATTGTGGTTAAGAACTACCGCTATCCTCCAATGAACAGAGAGTATCTTGTGTTTTCCAAAGACAACAAGAGACTTAAAACTGTGCTGAGTTCTTATGGCGTTGTCAACTGGCAACAAGAAAAGTTGAGTTTCAATGCTGTACCAGATTTCAACAAAGAAGTTGTCATGGAGACATGTGCTGAACAAAGCTATCAGAAAATATATCATTATAATGGGGTAATGATAATTCTGGAAGTCAATGACACAGTGACAAAAAATTCTCAAGCGCCACTTCCAGATGGTTACACTTTGGGTTCCCTAAACCCGGAACATGCTCCAATTGTAGAAAAAGGATTGATTTACCCTGAAGAAGATACACCTCTGTATGCAAAGCGGTTGAAATACCGTCGTTCCTTGGCTGTCTTTGATGAGCGCCTTCAGCCTGTTGCATGGATGCTGCAAAACGAGACAGGAGATATCGGGAGTGCCTATACTGACCATGCTTACCGTAAATTGAGACTGATGCAACTTATTGGATCAAGTATGATTCTAACAATAGTCAAACAAGGTCAAGTACCGTGGACAATTGTTGAGTTGAAAGCGTATGAGAAAATGAAAAAACAGCTGCCATTCAAAGAGTGCAGTAATTCTCTAACATTATGGATGGTGTTCAGGAAACAAAAAACATATCTGTAAAATTACATTTTATGTTCCTTTGTTGATAAGTGATTTTTCATAAGTGATTTTTCATTCTTTTGTGATAAATGAAGCTAAATTAGGTCGTTCCTTTGACCGTTTTGGATCAGCATTGCCAACCTGTCGCATGGCTACTAGAAAATGGAGATGTTGGAAGTGAATATTGCAATCAAGCGTATCAAAAGATGGGCTTTGGTAAAATTCTAAGAGAAAAGATGAGCATAGCAATAGTCGAACGAGATGAGGATCCATATACCAATGTTCGGCCAGAAGCACATCGGGGGAAAAATACGAAACAAGGCATACAGGGGCAGTGATTCTTTAACATTATGGCTGATGTTTGTAAAATAAACAGTGACAATTATTAAAATAAAGTTATGTTCGAATCACAAAGGAATTTTATTTAACCGTTTATAGGGGAGTTTGAGGTAAATTCAAATTTTGCACTACTGAGTCTGTTACAGCACATAAATGCAATGCATTATGGGAAGAACAATGTTTTTTTCACTCCGAAACACAAGGGCGATTCAAGACTCAATTTTCAAAGACACAGGTCTTTTAGATAAGACGTTTTTTTTTTGTTTCGAGTCTGTTGTGTGTCTAGAAGGATAGCATTGTTTTTTTGGTGAATATAGATAATGTTATGTTTCAATACTAGATTTCGATATGCTAATTTTAACAATTCTTTATTGGAATGACTCCCATATGAATAGTTCTCGGCTCCCCAATATTTGACAATGGTACTAGGCCAAAGTTGACCATTGTTCAGCATACCATGGACTGAAATGAAATGTTCACACACACACACACTTGCAAATTTGACAACAGTCGCTTGACCGTAAGGTTAGTAGGAATAGAAGCAAATAGATTGAAATTCAAGTTACATCACTCATGAAGATCGATGATTCAATTGCTGGCTATAACTATTCTCGATGGTGGACATCCGGTTATTTTTACCACCTGGCAATCATCACGGTAGAGCAAAGGCTGAAAACTCTTAGAAAATGGTACTTTGGGATGGTTGTTGACAATCCTGTCCCCTAAGCACTGTAACAAGATTACTCCTACACGTGCAACATATATAATTTTTGTTGTTCAGGATTGTCTAGTAATTGAGTTTGTGTCATTCTCTGGACTTCTGCTGGTGTGTGTCTTGGCAATGTAGAACGTTCTGTGATGTACTGTAAAATGACTAATTTTCGGTGGGATTAAATTTAGCATTTCAGGCATATTCAGTGGGTTTTAAATTCACGGTTTTATCACTGACATAATGTGTTCTATGCTAAACTTTACATATTCACTGACCTCTTTACAGTAACCTCACCCACAAGAACAGCTATATTTAGTATTCATTATGAATAATTCATGGCACACATGCAAAGTAAACAAAATTATCAAGATTAATTTTTGATTTGTTAAAAATGAGCCAAAATCCTGTGACAATATATCCAATTGGTGGTGGGAATTGCAAAGTCAGTTTCAAAAGGTCTATAAAATTGTGAACAAATATTTTTGTTAAATATCACTGCTGCAAAAGGCTTAAATATAACATTGGAGATTATGACTTTAGCACTAAAAGTCAACTATGGTGTCGACACTGGCAGAACTTAAACTTTGTATCCTGAATGGACCAAATTTCAAGAACAAAAGTGGTAAAATTATTTAATTTGTTAAAGAAGTAGCAGACTATATTTTAAGGGCCATTGCGACAATTAGATTAGACCTCTGACACAATAACCTACTGATGACCTCCTTGAAATCTGAGCCATGCACTGATATAACATACTCAATTGTAATACAATGTCAAAGGTCAAAACAGATGTACCTTCCGGATTGTAAATGGAACATAATACGAGAGAATCCAACTTTTAAGTGTTAATAAATGTCACTTGGTTTGCTACATTTTGAAGTGTAAATGGATATAATTTTGAGTCAAATTTGTTGACATATAAATTTTACTAAACTATATAAAGTTTACTGAACTTTGAATGAAGAGTTGAAATTTAACCATTTTGTATCTGAATCTCAAAACAGTGGAAACATGGCGATCCCACTTAAGCGTGATGATGGGCACCAGATTCGTATCCGATTTATTGGATGATAAAGAACAGCATATCCACACAGAATGTCTGGCCTATTATAGATGTGTACACGGACACTGAAAAAATCCAGCAATGTACAAGTGTTGTGATTGTGGTTAAGAACTACCGCTATCCTCCAATGAACAGAGAGTATCTTGTGTTTTCCAAAGACAACAAGAGACTTAAAACCATGCTAACTTCTGGTGATCTTATCGACTGGCGACAAGAAAAATTGCTTTTAAATGGGGTGCCAGATTTCAACCAAGAAATTGTCTGAGCAAAGTTTTCAGAAAATATATCATTATAGTGGGGTAATCGTAATAAGAGAACCTAATGATATTATGAGGAAAATTTCCCAAACCCCGCTACCTAATGGTTTCAGTCTTGGTCCCTTAACTCCAGAACATGCTCCACTTGCAGAAGAACGATGGATTCACCCCGACAATGATATGCTGTTATATGCAAAGAGGTTAGAATACTGCCTCTCATTGGTTGTCTTTGATCAACACTGTCAACCTGTCGCATGGCTATTATAAAATAAGTATTGTGATACTGGGAGTCCCTACTGTGACCCAGCATACCGTGGAATGGGACTCATGAAAATTCTTAGTACTAAGATGAATATAGCAATAGCCAAACGTGGTCGAGTTCCATACACTATTATTGCACTGGAAAAGTATCATAAAATCAGAAACAACCCGGGATTCAAGGAGTGCAGTGATTCTCTAACACTATGGCTGGTGTTCAAGAAACAAAAAACAAGTTTCTTGTAAAATCAATATTTTAACGCTTCTTGCTTGAATTTAATTTGTTACTTTTTCTGAGTCAATATCCATATAAGGATACATG